AACAGTGATGTCATGCGCTCACTTCTTCTCGACGCTTTACATTTCAACAGCATCAAAAAGTCAAAAGTTCTGTTATACACCCTAGTGTGTCTCAAAAATAATATTTTTAAAAATAATAATACATTTAAAAAGCATTATTTATTACAACTTTGCTAATCATTTAAAAGTATGTATGTATGTACTGTATGTGTGTATACAGTGGGTACGGAAAGTATTCAAATGGCTGCAATATAACAAAGAGTGAAAAATTTAAGGGGGTCTGAATACTTTCCGTACCCACTGTATATATATATATATATTTTACACTTTTTACAATTTTTAAATACTTAAACTTATATAAAATATTTATTAAATGTTTTAATGTATGTATATTTTATTATATTATTTAAAAATCTTAAAATATTTATTAGGGTAAATTATAAGTTATTATTTTATAAATATTTTATTAAAATTACAATAATATTTTAACCATATATTATATTTAAATATTAAAAACCTACATGCTTTATATAATAAAATATTTAATATTGTTTTCCATATTTAAATATACGTTTCAAATATTAAAAAAATATGAACTTTAATTTAAAATAATTATTTAATATTTAAAATATTTGTTAGGAATCATTGGGAAAATGAATGTCATCAGACGTATAATTAACTTGTTTTATTTTGCCAAATTTTAAGGCAGCATCACTTATTCATTTACAAAACATCATTTATTCTTCATTTGAAAAGGCAATGCCAGAATTCATTGTGACCAGGTCAGTGAAAAGTTTCATACGTGATGACAGGGAATCATCAGTTTCATGGGACAAGACCCTAAAAAGCTGTGAGATGTATTGCAAAGGTCAAAGACGTCAAACAAGGCAGCTCACTAGGGTTTAAAACAGAGCAAGAAATGGCAAAAAGACAGACCGAGCCTGAAATCTTTGGCACAGACACTTTCTATTGGATCCTGATATTTTAATCAAACATACAGCAGAGAGGATAAAGATTATGAAACACATTCTTCTGCCTGTTCCTCACAGAGAGCTCAACACAGACCCAGATAAACCTCTGAATGACATGAAACGCCACAAGACAAAAGAAACACAGGCCAGAGAGCCGAGTGCTTTACATAACGCCATCCTGACTGCGCTGAGTGACAACTTCTTCTCACGACTCGGAGACTCAAGCACCAGCAAACATGCTGTCATCATACAGTCATTTACTACCTGCACAGCGCTGACCGTTACACTGCAAGAAAACAGTGAGCACCCTGCTGCTGATGACTGCTTCCTGAAGCATTTTTCCCATTCATTTCTCTAAAGGGATTTTAAAAAAAAAAGTTCAGAGCACTGAACACCAAACCAACCAGCTCTGAGATGCAAAAAAGGAAAATAGCTAAAAGCTCACAGCACTGCAAAAAGCAATCTTTGACGAAATATGCAATATAGAAATGTATTTTTAAAATATACATTTAAATAATAAATAATTATATGTGATACGTAGATAATGTAGGAAAAGAATGAAATATATTTAAATATTAAACAGTTAAAATATTGTTAAACTATTTTAACTATATAATATATATAATATACATATAATAAAAATTATTATATTAGAATTTTGTATTTAATTTTTATATAGTTAATTACTATTCAAATATATATTATATATTAAATATATATTATTTTATATTGAAAGATTAAAAATTAAAGTTTTGGTGAGTGATGAATAATAACATATTATGAATAATAATATATTATTATTATTACATTTGTAAATAACAAAATAAAAAGCTAAAAATTAAGCTTTGAAAAAACCTTAGATAAAAAAAATATCACGGTATCACGGTATCGCGATTACTCTAAAATATGTTATTTTTAAATGTCTGGGTAAAAAAAACTTTTTTTCCCAC